TCGTTCTTGGCTCTTTTGATGCGTGAAACAATAAAAGTCTTAATTATTCTGGCATGGCTCCCTGGTCAGTAAATACTTCACCGGCCGACGCTGATGAAACTTTATTGCGAGTTATTGCGTGAAGGCCAATTAAGACTTAACAACCATGCCTTATGTCAGGTTCACCAGAAGGGGCCACTAAAAAATCAGGGCTCCTCTGTCGTCAGAATGTCGAGGTGTTGCAATCATGCAAAATACAAACCTACATTTTGGACCACAAGAAATATTGAATTTCATAAACTGTCTTTTCAAAGTGGAACTTCTAAAATCTTGCTTACCTTCTTGGTAAATCTCTCTCTAAATTTCATTGGTAAATAGCAGTAGATTAGCAAATATAAAAAAAATGTAATTGGCCTAAAGGCAATACAGGTATTCATTCATTATAAGAAGTGCTAAAAACTTCACAGCATCAACATTTCACAGGTGGTTGATGATCTTTTATCTGTTGTACGCCTTCCCCCAAGACCATTACCTAAATACCTTCTGGCCCCACCCATGCATGAAAACACACGTTCTTTACCATGGTTGAAATACAGGATCATAAAAAACTGTGCCAAGTTCTTTGTAAAGTAAGTTGCCAAGTAAAGTAAACATCCTTATAATTCTAACCGAATAAAGGCTGGAGAAACTGTGCCACTTCAGCGGTATTGTTGGCAATCTTCCGTTGCTGTGTTTCAGATTAGCGCTGGGTGATGCGGAGTCGCAGGGAATGCCTCGCAGAATGTCATTTCCGCCTTAATCCACGTGTAAAGACCGTGCACAAACTTTGTCCTAACGTCTAATCTTCCTGAAGCATCTGACATTCCAGACGAAGATCGCCCGTTCACATGCAAGGCTATCTCAGTGTATAATATTGTGGTAACCAACACGGGCACGCACTGTTGTTTGTGTACACCTGACTCAGGTGAGGTACATGTATATACAGGTATGTGTCATTTGGTCTCGGTGGTCTCTGATCGACAAGACCGCAGAATTCTCGGAAGTAAATACTGTAATGCCTAATCAATGTTTACACTCTGCTAATCAGCTTCTATTCTTGTACGGGGTGTTAAACCACTAAGTCTACACCTTCACGATCCACTCGTGAGCAAGTGTGTTTTTACGGGAAATTATAAAGATCGCTACTCACTGTCCTATCTGCGGCCCGAGCTCGTAGAAATCTTCGAACGCCGCCTCGGTGCGGGATCCCTCGATCCAGAAGGTGTCGGACCCTCGGCTCGGCGCTGGCATCGCAGTCATCGGGAAGTCTGGTCGGTTACACGGCAGGAAAACGAGAAACAGCTTCCCAGTATGAACCCTCGTGCACGCGACTGAAGGCAGTGGTTTATTGTATGGGCTACAGACTGCTTGAATCGTGGATGCCTGTGCTGCTATGAGTTGGGAGGTTGGCCCATTGGCTGCTCGGTTCGCGTCTGTAGTGAAGTTGTTGGCAACCCGCTTCCACTCAGGGACAATCCACAAACACTGGCAAGGGTCGCTCGTGACGTGGAGAATAAAGGCTTTAGTCGTACTACCCTGTGGTCTTAGCGCAATAGATGCAATTTCCTACAAGGTCTCAAGTGCAAAATCTACTTCAATAAAGGAAAAAAGCTGACAACGATGTAAACAACAAAACATAAGCACGCCCCTGGTAATGAATGGCCTACCCCTGATGTAAACATAAGGCTGCGTCACGTAATTGTTCTGGGCATGCGTGTTTGCCGCAGGTGTGTTCCCGTGACGTGTGGGGAGTAACAAAAACCATACTTCAAGAGGGATTTCCTGGGGTCGGAAGTAAACATCAGCCGGGTCAATTATCATAAGTCATAAAATGCCAAACCTTTCCATTTAAAGGTGAATAAAAAGCACATACAGTATGCCTTTCACAAGGAGCTGCTTGGTTTTGTTCTTCGATAGGGTAACTTTAAATGGATGTTATTTGTTAATCACAAGGACGTGCAAAAAACGGTGCAAACGAAAATTGAATGTACATGTTCATCTTAAATAACGTACAATTTACTAGTACTTGACTTACACATATTTCTCATTGTCATCCTGTCATACATAGATACCGAGGAGAAGGACCTCGGTATCTACCAGTCTTGGTTTCTCTAAGGTACATACTGTACATTAGTACCACACAATGTAAGTTGTATAATTTTTTTTCTCAATATCTGTAAGTTCTTCATTCCTTTATTCTCTGTTTAATAGCCAGTTACCTCAGTGTATGGAGTTTTGGTGTGTTTGCTTGTGTTTCCATAGATACCTCACGAGCAAGGACACTGACAGGAAGTTAGGTCAAAAGTCCCAGAAATGTCCCAGAGGTTATCTCATTTCCTGTCTTCAATTTCCTGTTGTCTGCACGCCTGTTGCCTATGGCAGCCAGTGGAGAGTCACTATATCCATGGAGCTTTCATCACATTCTTGTAGAAACATCCTTGCTACTACAAATGTAGTATATCATAATATACAGAATCATAATTGTATCACAAATGAATAAAACAAGAAATTCACAAAAATATTTCATGGAGGTACGAGAGCTTTGATTTCTTGAACTTCTCTTTTTTTTCTTCTTATTTTTGTTTCACAAATCAAGGAGCTTTCATTGCTCTTTTAGAACATCCTTGCACAAATACACAGCCAATGTATTTGATTCCAGTCTATCTAAGTCAGTCCGGAATGTTGCCTAATCTGGCAACATCCCCCTAGCCAATCTTAGCCAATCAGAGAGCGCCCCGCGCCATGACGTCATTTTCGCGCGGTTGAGACCCAAGCCAAGTTTCCACTCTTTTTTCGTGAATTTTGGGCTGTACGCCTGCGTGAAGACCAGTTCAAAGGTTAAAATACGTCACATCCACGTAGCCACAGCCTGGGGAAGCCATATTGTCCGTGTTTTTGCTTGAAAAACCTTCCGAAAATCACATATTCCGGCGGCGATTACCGCCAGATAGGCAGGTAAGACATAAATTTACACATTTTTGCCCTCATTTTACCGGCCTAACTTAGTATTTTCCCGGAATTTGTCGAAGTTTTAACCAATTTTCCGTAGTTGTTTACAGTGTTACTGATCGATAGCGCCATGTTGTTTACGTGTACAACAGCCTGGAAAAAATGTTCGCGTTTTAGAAATTGGGACGTTTTGCGTCTCGGAGCTGCCTTCCGCCATGTTTTTCAATGCAAACTGGCACGGCCTCGGCTAGCTTTCGTGGACGTAAAATGCTCATATTCGCAAGACGCAACATTTCTAAGCACAATAAATAATTTTCCTGAGTAGGTAATAGCCTCTTGCATCATTTCATGTAATTTTCAGTTACGGATTGTGGCTAATAAAAATTGTTCGCGTTTTTAAACTTTGGAAATGCCACGTCGGGAGTGCGAATACTAGTATACAGTAGGGGTTGGGGAGGGGGCGTTCGTGTTCGGAGATTCGCGATTGAGCCGTTGTTGTGTGTCGATGCACTGTAGTGTTGCTATCAATTCATAATTCATATCCTTGATATATGTCATCAGTTCTCGAGCTTTTTTTCGACATTTTAACCGAAATTTCCGCATTACTTGTTGTGGATATGGGGGGGGGGGCAGTGTGAAATGGTAGCTTACATGCATACTGTTTCAGTACTAACTGTTAGTACATCATTTAATTTATATACATTTGTACAAATATGTATATATCAGACATTCATATAAACATGTATCTGGATTCAGATTCAGTTTATTATCATTAACATGGCATGTATGATCTTTGTGGCCTGCTCTTCCCAAGAATGGAAACACATGATGTAGTATATTTGCAGGACATACCTCTGTCCAAAAATAAAATCTAATCTTACCTTACCTTGTTTACCAGTTGCAGGGTGCCCACATAAAGGAATTACGGAGAACTCGCAGGATGTGCATTTGTCCACATGACATGGGTGCTGGGAAATTTGTGTAGGCAATACGGGTACCGGTAGCTCCTATGGTAGATTGGAAGATATTTCCTATACCGCAACAGCTGCCACAATTTCTTTTTTATCAATGTTGTTTCTTTACAGTTTACTGAAGTATTTTCATTGTATGCATGTATGTTGGTAGGTCTGTTTATAAAAATGACATGAGTACTGAGACTATGGTAGAAAAGACACCATCACCAAGAAATGTAAATAATGATGTGGAATCATGAATCGCAAAGTACAACAAAGAATGATCTCAGTTATTGTTACAGTATGAACAACTATGGCCAGTTTCGTATTGTTACAATGTGTGGTATATCAGAGTTTGCAGCTATTTGATGACAATAATAGTGACATTCAAGAAGATGTTATGAATATTTGGTAGAATGATGTATGTTGTAATTTTACTTCCAACATTACTAGTACTAGTATACTGGTCATATTTTGTATGCTGAATTAAAGTAATCTTTGTACTCTGACATATTTCTTCACCTGTTTCTTCAGAAGTGCATGTGTACACAAAGATATATTTTTCACCTTTATCATGTTTTTCTTGTACTTTCTAATAACCCAAACTGAGCTTCTACAGTTCTTATCTTGCTAAAGACATGACTCCTTTCTTCTACACTGTATGGTGGGATTTGAGATATTAGTACTAGCATTACTAGTACTTTTGGCATATGTTGACATTTACATCCTGCCAGCCATGCTAGCTACGGGAACTATTTTCCCTTCAAACATTACATACACCACAGGTAAAAAAGTATGTTCTTTACTTTGGTTCTGTTGTGATGACATACCTGTAACTACTAGTATCTTCTCCTACTTAAATAATGTACAAGATCTAAAAATATGGGCTATCTCTTGTGCACAAAGGGCAAGATACTCCACAAAGGGAGTTTTAATAGGCAAATTTTTGTTGTAAATCTATACTTTTGTACACCAAAGTCATTCATTGTTCACAATGATTTAGTTGTTTCTCATATTTTGGATACCTTGGCTGCATCATACATTGTACTGTAAAGTACAACACGAAATAATTAATAAAACATTTGCTGTAAAGTCTAAGTTCCAAAACTGAAAGCCCGACCCAGATTTTTCTTTACAATTGCTTGCATCCCAAATGTTCAACTCTTTTGCGTTTTGAGACCTCTGGTAACCCGATTTGTGTTACTGTATTTCTCTTTAGGTAGAACAGAGAAAACCCCGTCGTTTGTTATAGAATCTAGGCGATCTGACCATAAGACGATGTGCTCGTAAAGCTTAGCACTGAGATAGGAGTTGGCAACGTATTACTTGGATACGATCTACTTGACTTTTCTAAGCCCCTAACATCTTAACACATCCGTCATTAGAAACAGGTAAGTATTATAAGAGGTAGCCGACCCAAAAGTTGGAACTTCAGCGCCGGAGGTGCGTGCAAGCGTGTAGATAGAGGTGAGTGCAGTGGACGTCGTGCTTGAGCCAGTGTTCGTTGTGTTTCTCGTAACAGATTGCTTATACACATGGTACGGCCAGCTTGAAAGTATGAAGATAATACCAAATTATCGGCTTTTAAGGACGCAGACGATTTCCAATTCCTGCCCAAGGCGTGGGAAGTGAAAAATAGGCGAGATCCAGGCGGGCACTTACTTTCGCGGGAGCCGTCGCCATCTTGAATTTGAGGTCAAAATTACGGGTCACCGGTAGTGCGCGTGCGCACAGTAGCGAGTAGCGCCATCTTGCATGTTGCCTAATCTGGCAACATTCCGGACTGTAAGTGCTTTCCCATTTTCTCTATTACTTGGGCATAATATAATGTACAAATGTATCAGAAAATAGACCACATTTATCTAGGGAAAAAAAGATACATGATGAAGACCAAATACATCAATATTTTATTACACAACGAAGACCAAAAGGTCACAAGAATACTGTACAACAAAGATTTTAGACAGACTTATGTTCAAAGAAAGACATGTAGTCTAGAGTTTGGTGTTGTGCTGAAGTGTGTGTTCTGTCAAAACGGTATTCTAACACACTGTGAGACATGGCCTACAAATTACTAGTATCCTTGCAGGTGATGTAACAAAAAGGGACTTGGCAGTACCAGCCCCTGGGGAATCATGGCATTTACATGTAAACCTTTATTCTACATCAGGTAGGGTTGCAAATGTCTCATCAGTTATCACACCTTTAATGTCAGTTGTAGTCCTGGGAACTTTGGGAGCAACCTCTAGCCCAAGAAGACACAACAATGTTCCATCGTAACTTGGCTGCCTCTTCTTCTAGTCTAGGGGTTAATTGCCCTGCTTACTAGTATTTACTAGATCTGGCTGACTAATGGCACTGCCAATAGCTAAAGTAGAGGTCAGTTGCCCTGCTTATTTTATTGGCTATGTCAGAGTCTGGTTGGCTAATGGCTCTGCCAATAGCCTTGCCAGAGCAAACAAAATGACACAGCTCCACAGACGTCGCTTGTTCTGCCCATCCTCTTGCAGACTTTCAGCCCTTACACTTACAGGAAGTTGGGGGTCCTACTTTGGGAAGTCAGCAGACTCTCATATTGATACAGTCAGGTTAAGTTGTTGTTAATGTCTTGTTTCATGGTCCTTGAACTTCCACTCCTGCCTGCACATGGGGCACTGCTGGTTCACCTGCTGGGAGTTCAGCCACTTCAGGATGCAGTGCATGTGGAAACAGTGAGAACACTGACCCCACACTGAAAAATTAAATAACAGTTCAACACCACTTCTTGTATCATGCTGATTCATCACTCTTCAACTTATAAGCCACCCAAAGTTATTTTCTTGGATCTCTGATACATGTATCACAAACTAAAAATTAAAAACTTTCTTCAGTGATGTTAAAGTAAATGTTTGCATATAAATATCAATGTCATAGAATATCATTATTCATTCCTGGATGCCTAACCTTCAAATATGTAATACTCCACATTGTTTGGCAATGTATTCAGTCATGTGAGATCTTACCGAGAGGGCAGTCATCACCAGGGAGTTTGCATTCTGAACAGGTGGCGTCAAAAGGCATGCGGCAGATGCCACAGTTGTCATCATTAGCCATCCATCTCCAGGAGGCCACAGCTGTCCAGCTGCAAAAAGTGGTAGAGGGTATTGATCATGACTTTCCTGTTATGACTCTGGCAGATGATTACTAGTATCAGATACCAAACTCACTGGGAATCCATGCAAGTCCTTGTAATTGCACAACATTAAATAACATTTAAAAAATAAATAAAAGTACAAATCATTTTTTGTTGTTTTAACTTTATCTGGATTGCAACAACACAATGTTCTGTTACATTCTTGGGCTGCAAAACAGAAGTTTATGAGAGATAAAAATAAGCAAGACTTACCCTAGCAGAAATGTGGAGGTACATGATGTTGAGTCCAAAAATGCAAAAGGCACAAAAGAGAACAAAAATATCTGTTAGCCATTTGCTGGCTGCTTGAATAAATACAATCATACTCTGGGAGCTTCTGTACGAAAGTTGTTTTAAGTATAAGGCTACTATCCATAATCTTTACATACCATTTATGATTTACGGTAGATTTTAATCTTACAAAAATGTATCCACAAGTATGTCTGGCTCAGCATGGAGGTAAAAACCTTCATGGGCTCAGCAAAAGAAACAAGCTACAAGAAAAAGAAACAAGTCCTAGATGCACTGCAAAACACAAACACACACACAAAATGAAACTTTTCAGATCAAGCACGACCCTGGAAATTTTGGTCGGGGGGTAAGTTATATTCTTTTCAACGTGACAGAGCAAGGAGGCTAGATGGAGGTTTGAACATCTCCTCACCTCACCTCACCGGTCCCATAGCAGTATGTCCTGCCGTCGGGGTATATATTTTTTAGCCCCCCTCCCCATTTTCTGAAGGGCCCGGTACAGCATAACAGTTTACGTATATTCCCACCATTTCGTGATTAAGTAACTCTGAAATTTCCTTCTTATCATGATTACCCCGACGTGACTATCCATAGTAACATGTTGGTGCGTCAGAGGACTCACTTTTCACTGTAACTTTCATCGTCAGCTTTCCGCTTTCAAAATGTCCGCCAATGTGTTCACCCCAGTTTTAGGCCCACGACATTCCCATGAGCCTCTGCTTTTTAGATTTCATCCTAACGATTGCAACAGTGCATCATGGGAGTTTTTGACTTGGTCATCTAGTTTTGTGGTACCACAAAATGGCAGAGGACAAGTCTTTTAATCACATCTGGACAGGGACAAGTCCTGACTTTTCCCTGAACAGGTATAGTTTCCTGCTGGACTTTTAGGCCGTAGAATCACTGAGGATTTCAACGATCCTAACATAGGCTGTTAGTATTTTCTTGAAACTTGTTGACCATGAGGACTGTGGAGCAAAGGAGATTGAGGTTTTTGTGACCAAATTATTTATGGCAAAGACCTCCTTGCTAATGATGTGATTTGATTTGAGAAGTTATCATCAAATTATGATTTGATTTGAGAAGTTTATATGCATGTACTAGTTCTTGGTCATTGTGGTTATTATTTTTTAACGGCCACATGAATATTATTATTAGCTTAATCCTTGAGCTTGGTATTGGTCAAGTTTATGGTCACTTGTCAGAATATCCATCATAACATCACAGTTAATCTATGACATTGTCATCAAGAAGTACACAAAAGATCTGACTCCAATACGAGCCCTCACTGTTCTTGTTTACATCAATTATTTGTAAGCATATGCAAATCTATTGGTAGGCAAATCACCTGCTGTCTGTGGTGTCATGGCAATGGCTTGGATCAAGGACATTTTACATATATGAAGCTCCTTGCTTGTATACAGTGATCACCATGTCATGACCAGCTAGTGGTAGTTTGCATATGTCTTTGAATAATTTGCATGTATATTTTATATGATGTAAACAAAAACAGAAATCACTCATATAAAATGAAGTTTGATATAATTTTGTCTTCTCGTGTCATCACGGTTGGTCACCTACTCTTTTTCAGAAGTTTGTCATCACCTTGATGTCTTCCAATAAAGCTCATGGCCAGTGATGATGACACACCTGCAGCAGAGTCAACAGAGATGGACTCCAACCATGGAGCCTTCCCCAGTTTTACTTTCCCTCATGATCCTAAACCAACAGACGACACCCTTGTGCAGAGACATCACTTGTTTCAGGTAATTTGTATCACAATGAGTTACTAGTACTTCAACCCCTTAAAAAGTTGGCAGACTTTGTTACTTCATACTGTGCTTTACTGGCATGGTAGAGTTTCTACATAATTTTCTGGGGGTCACAAAACAATTCTATGTCTCTGAGTGAAAACGCTTGTGAAATCATCAATGCTAATACTGTACACTCATTAACAGTTTGTTTTTGCTTAGAAAATGACTTAGATGATAGATGGTAGGCATTGTTAGCATTAAACATGATGCTTTGGTAATGTTATTAAAGTAACATTGACATTGTTAAACCTTTTCACACCAGGAGTATGGCCTGTATGAGGCAGTAGATTTGAGAGATGGAGCTGATGGACTGGCCACTTTGGCAAGAAAGTGTCATGGGACTGACCAAGATCAACACAAGGCCTTCTATGCACCTGAACCTACCTTACCTCTTCTACCTCCCAATCAAGGTAGCAGTAACACTTTACTTTATATCTTTCAAAGTTTGAGTTTCAAAGAGCAGAGTCTGATTGCTAATGAAGACTGGTAAATAGATACATGTAGTTGATCGACTTTTGATTAAAGTCTTCAGTACCCAGGATATAAATATGTACATGTATCTCTAAGCCAGTAGCCCTCCTTTCACTGTGCTCCTTTCCTCACAGCCTGCTCTATACACGATGTGGACCAAGCAGATGTTGTGAAGCAGCTGTACCTCATGCGTCCCGGGCAGGGGAGACAGCACGTGAGCTGTACTCGGGTCCAGGACCAGATCAAGTACCTGTACCAGCGCCATGCAGACATCATGTTTCACACATCCTCACACCTTCTGTGGGAATACTTTATAGACATGCCAGGAAAGGTTTGGACTTCCTTTTTTTCATTCTGGTTTATTGACAATTGCATGCTCATTTGATTTTAACTATTCTAACTATTTGTGTAAATAAAATATGTGCTTTCATGGTAGCTTTTTCTCATTCCTGTGTTACTGCAACCCTGAATTTGGAGTGTGGTGAATGAGCATATACATGTAACTATAAGCAGTTCTCATATAAAAAGTTTAATCTTTGTCAGTTTATAGTATGACAGCTTCTGAAGTCAGCATTTTCAACAAGCTTTGGAGACCCACTCATGAACAGATTGAAGAGGCTGTATCTGCTTACACATAGCCCTTCATACCTATAATGTCATATTTTCTGTTACAGAAATACAGTAGAGTAGTGAACACCCTGCACTCCAGGGGGGATGTGATCCCAGTACGGATGTCGTATGTGCAGAAGTGTGCGTCAGACTTCTCCTCACTGCTAGATGATGTGCTGTGTGACATTCCCAGGGAACTACTGGAGAATTACATCAACGAGGACCTCACAGTATGGAGGGACAGATTAGTAAGTGGAGAATTCTAGTTGTCTTGACCGTAATACACTGTAGCTCTGATATTGGACTTAAAAAGGGGGGGAAATGTATTCTCAAAGGTGTTGGAAATGAAATATTCAGCTTGTGCTTTGTCGTTTCTACATTCAAATTTTGAAAGCTCTCTGGACATTCAGAATGTTTCACATGGCTGTTGCATGGATGCACCATTGACCAATGTCATCTTCTTTCTGCCGCTTGGCTTTTTATTCATATTGATATTCAGTAAATTTTTGAGTTGACCAATATCTTCTGTTTTCAGATAGCAGATTCAGCTGAGACAGGAGGAAGCATGTGCTACCAGGAGCTCTGCAGTACTTCACATGACTGCAAGGGTGCGATAATGTACCCAAGTTCTGCCTACTTAGATGTTCTCAATGTTGGAACACTGTCAGTAAAACATCGGGCCAATGATAGTGTCATTTCCCAAAACACAGAAGTTGTGGTAGATCCCTACACTCAGCAGTTTTCTCTGAATGGCAGAATTCTTCAGTGTGAGTCAGTAAAAGTCCAGAATCAAGACATGTTTGCAGTGAGAAGTAACTATCACTGCACCACATTGTCCTTTGACTCCACTGATGGAGACCAGGGACAAGCAAAGGTGCTTCAAACAGTGCACTTTGACAAGAGTCCAACTTCAGTCGCCCTGAGTCCCTACATTGCCGGGGAGGTTGTCATCTCTACAGAAACCGGGGCAGCTTATTTACTGTGGGCAGATGGAAGGTGAGTATTAAAAATTAGCAAGATGTACATCTTGAAGGTATACTTTGTTATTTACGTATCAACTCTTGGTGGGAAATTCCTTATAAACCTAATCATGATGGGATGTAGCCTTGACTCCACATTCCCCACTGTCCTGTATTTGTGCCCTCAGATTACAGCAGGTTGTACCTGACCAGGACAGCACCCTGAACTTTGTGTCTGACAACCCACAGAGAGCCTGCCACTTTGGTTCCCACCCTCGCCTGTTAGTCTACTCAGACAGCACTGGAGTGGAACTCAAAGATGTCAGGTCCGGACCACAGAATGACAGAAGACCCCTCTTTTCCCTTCCCTCAAGATGGACAATGAAAGGAGAGAGAGTCATGTTCAGCAGAACTTGTCCCACAAACAGTTTTCAACACGTCATCGCCATGAAACGTTCACTTGTTATCGTGGATGAGAGGTTCCCCCAGAATCCTTTGGTGAAGTGGAGTCACATGATGAAGTCTCCACCAGTGTTCATGGACATTGTCAGCTGTACAGCCCACAATTTGAACAGTCATGTGATCCTTCTAGCCAATCAGAGACCACAGGAAACCACCTGTTTTCAGTATGTAAATGAGGGAAGCTGCCCACCTGTGTCTGTGAGGCAACCGTTTTCAGTATCCAAAGTCAGCAGTTGGTTGCCATGTTTGACATCATCACGACAGACTTTCTCAAACGGATTTCTGGAAAGAAGACTTCAAAAACCTCTTATTGGTGCTTGTTTTATGAGACACAACAGCAAAGACTCAGGTTTTTCTGCCTTGCAGGTAACTTTGCCCTCCTCACACAGGTTCTATATTTTAACTTCTGAAGTGGTAGATGTAGTGATTTTGGCAGTTCCATCTTTTATGTCCTCTTTGTTGGTATTTAGTGTCTAATATTTCCCAATCTCCAGATGACCTCCATGGGGGACATGTTCTACCAGAGTTTCATCCCTGACAACAGGACAGGCATAACAGCAGGCAGACCGACTGAAGCTGGACCAGTCAGTTTGTCACCATTGTCTACGGAGAGGTGCTCATCCTGGGTGGACAGAGTCATTTCACAGAGCCAAGTATGTTCAAAATCTGAAATCCCACATCTGTTTTGTTGTAGTTGTCACAAAAGGCATCTGCAATTACAGTGATAGGGGAGGTGAACATCTGACAGAGCAACTTCTATAGAAAGTAGAGTTATTGGACAAATTGAAAAATGCCAGCTTCAGATTATCTATTACACATGTATTATAGTTGAATACTCCTACAAGATATTCTCGACACATAGGATCTTTATAAAAGATAAGTATGACATAGATACTGTTGGACTCATAGAATCCACTTTTCATTCTCTGCAGGACCCAGATGTTTGCTATCCCAGTTTGACAAGAGTGCAGTACAAAGATGTGGCCAAAGCCAAGCCTTTGGAAAGGAGTAGTTATCGCCTGGTTCAAATGAGGAATGCTAAACCTCTTGCCAAAGGTAATGTACACAATGCCAGTACTGTACTGTGAGTTGATATGTACAGTGAATTGATATGTACATTTGTACAATGTACATGTCAACAACCATACTATGAAGACTAGCAGTACTAACAGGTGATTAGACCAAATGATGTATCAAAAGAATGTTTATGGTCAGTCTTTGTCAAAGCAAAAGAGTTTATAGCAAGGTAGTACTTTGCAGATGCATGTTATACAAGTAGGCCTGTACATACCATTGTTACAGCTGAGGTACAGCTTGTTTCTGGAACGTCCTGTATGTTTTTTTACCATTCATTGTTTTCATTATTGAATGGATAACTGTTGTGCGATTCTCTCCTTCATGCAGCATTCACAGCCGGCACATCAATCCACCCCAGCTGCACACTCTGTAAGCCCAACAGTGCATTTGTAGACGTGGACAGCCAGGACGACAGCTGTCCATCATGTCATCATGACATCAAGTTCAGCACAGGTCTGTCAGGGGTGCACAAGACCAACAGTGTCCTGACATGTCAGAGTCTGGGGGACACAGAAGGAACACAACACCTACAGGCAAGGTACTGTCAACTGGTTCAAGTTCCAGGGGACAAGGAGGATTTCAAAAGGGATGTTCAAAATTCTCAACACACTTCTCATAGAATATCTGTATTCTAATGATTTTACAGTGGAGAGGTAACTGTACAAACTGCAAAAATAAAACTACACGTACGAAGAATACATTGTATTTCAAGATTTCAGATTATGAATTTTTGGCTTCATTGCAATTTTGTATCATACATTCCTAGAAAGTTTGTCATTTCTCCTTCTGACAGCTATGAATTGAATCTGATTGACCCGACGGAGTCAAGTGATCATCTCAGCATGGTGCTGTTGAAAACATGGGATGGAGACTATGACCAGTACTTTGCAGAGAAGGTAGGTAGCTTGTTCCTCTTTAGACAGGAATTTGTCACCTTCCCAGCAAATTGTGAGGGGTGGACATGTAGGTTGGCATTTTGGAAGAACTCTGGTGTGTAATTATCCATTCAATGTACTGGGGTAACACAAACTTAGAAGTCAGCCATCCAATATGCTGGCATGCTTGCAAACCCCAGCTTATAAGGAGTTCCTGTTTCCTGTACTTAATTTTTTTGGACCGGTATATCTTGATTGTCTACATGTCCTCCATGTTTTAGAGTTATGTTTGTATCTCTTTTACTCCAGTCTGACAAAGGTGGAGAGGTATCAGGGACAGCAGAGCAGGTGAGACCAGTGAAGAGAAAGCGACACCCCTCGGGTGACCAGGTGATCACGTCCACCCCCGCCCGCCCTGATGCCGCACCCCTGCCCTTCCTGTCACCGATCTCCCTCCCCACCCCAGGAGGAGTCTCACCATCCAAGTTCCACACAAACGACACCGACATGTCTTTCAGCATCACTCCCAAACCTAGAGCCTCCACAGGGAAAGCAAAGAAGAGGAAGTCCATTATGGGGTTCTAGCAACATGTATGCTTTAGGTTATATGAGGATCTTAGATACATGTGTAGTTAGATTGACAACATCTACCTCCTGAACATGATCGCAAAAGTATTCAGTGTAATACTCGACCTACACATACAAATGTGGTGTGTGATATCTAGTAAGCAGTAGATGCAAATGACAGTTTTTTTATTACAATAGTATCATACGAAACAATATTTTTAGGTAATAAATTTGAGAAGGTATTTTCCACTACCAGGTATTGTGTAATGTAAAATTTCCCTTAGGTGGTTTCAGACACGTATAATGTGTATATACCTCAGACCAGGGATTTCCCTTTTAAGGCAGACCTCAGAGCAGATGCTAGTGTTATTTTGTAAAAGCCCAAATTTTATGGTTGATTCATACAGAGAAGTGCTACATTTATTTTTCTATGTATGATCATAATGTTATTTTCTACTCATTTTAATAGCAGTAGATATTCTTGGTACATGTATATACTAGTACATATATTTCACTTTATCAGATGCATATTTTAGAGTAGGGCAATTCTTTTCTAGATTTGAATAGTTATCAACAGCATTTTCTACTCTGTTGTATAATTGTGTATAATTGTACAGATGGATGTTACATCCTCATCTTAGATGCTTAGGATTAAATACCGTACTTGAAGAAGCATACTCTTTTCTTTGGATAAAAAAATCAGTCTTTGCAGTCATGACTGTAGGAAAGCAATCGGTTTGCACACAGTATCATGCACTCTAGTTTCAAAATGAGTAGAAATGGCAACACAAGTTTAAGGCTTCTTCACCCATTACGTGGTTGAAACGACTCGATCCAAACACAACATTACGACTCCGCCTACACACCATTATCTAGTGACATTATTTTAGCAGTCTCAGTATTACACTAGCGCACATTGAAAGACAGTGTATCTCTTAATCATACACATCCTCATTTCCTCACATTGTCGAGCTCCCTTGTAATTGATATTCACATATTTAAACATGTTGAAGAACAAATCAACAATCAAAGAGTGTCGAGCTCCCATTTGATTGATATTCACGTACTAGTATTTGAACATGTTGAAGGCAAATCAACGCAAGTACTCATCACAGATCCCACAAGTTGCACAACAACAACAAGTACAGTGGAAGGCACGTAAGGACGTTAACCTTCGACCCTATTACGCACACCGCTGTGTGAGGCCCAGCACAGGGGAAACCGTAAGTTACGGTTAGCCTGACGTCGCAGAGCATCCTTACAGTGCAAGTTACACCAGGTAAAGTTAGAAACAGGCGATTCCTGCCATCTTCAACTATATAAGATACTACGGGCTATGTGGAGCGTAGTGTAGTGAAATGAAATGTAGTGGAAGGACAATTTAGACTGGAAAGTGAGAACGACAGTAGACTTTGTAGTAGTCCCTGGTAGTAGTTGTTGATTCAACAAGTAGTCATCAGTTTTGTCAGAGTATACAAGTGGTAGAAGTCAGAAGGTGGACTAAGTTAATCGTATAGGGAAGGATGTCGTCTCTGGTCCGACTCTCCAAGCCACACATCATACCGGATTGTGTCGTTATAAGTTCATACACAGATTAACTACTAAGGAATTTAAGGCGTCACGCTTTGCGGAAGTGTTATTTGGGGTCAAAATGTTCAGCGGCAGGTGGGCTTTCGTCCTCACTCCAAATGGCGTAGAACAGTAGCTCACATGTATGACATACGACCAAATCCAATAGAGCTGCCCATACCAGGTTGTTGGCATTCTGTATTTCGTACTTGGCGCGACTTTTAGTGGTGTGAACAGACGATTAGACCGCGCTCGCGGGAACGTTTCAAGCGGCTGTACAACTGGTCGATATCGATGGTATAAATTAACCCATTGTCGCCGACTGTAAATTGTGTCGCTATGTTTCTATTAATAACGTCATGCCCGGAAATCTGTACATGTAATCATCACTCGGGCTCATTTTTCTCCGTTTGGATTCCCGATGGTTAAAGGCATCACATTCAGGTATTATAGACTCAGATGGGTGCTGAAGCCTAATGCAAGTAAAGGAACCAAGTGTTGAAATCAAACAGGAAAATGGTCACTGTGTGCCATTCAGTTTTGCGAAACTGCGTGCAATTGTGTGCGAAATGACGACCTAAGGAAGTGAAATGAACTACAGCAGTCATGGGGATGCAGCTTAGATAATTCTGACAACTTTTGCAAACTTCATAATCCAATTCATGCTGTCTAAACGACAACTTATTCTACAAAGCACTGACAAACGATCTTCAATCTCCCCTAAACTTTACTTGTACCACTTTGTTTAAAAGAAACCTCCTTGCTGCATTCGAATCGTTTAAATTTTCTCATGTGAGTTGTCATCGCCAGTTTGAAGACCATAAAAATGACCAGAACGGTTCGCCAATCACCTCATGGAATGATCTGCATGCCTGAAATATAAATAATTTCTTCCCGAAATCTTCCATCTTTCCAGAACCATGCACGTGTTCCAGCAACCCCGCCCCACTCCGAGATGTTTTGGCGGGAACACCGTCAAAGCGTTATCTATCACGCAGATAGTGTGTGGATCTCTGGCCATACTCTTGGGCATCGCTATCATCATACCGGGGAGTGGGCTCTTCAAGTCCGGGTATCCTATCTGGACTGGAGCGATGGTAAGACAGATATTATAATTTAGACCCTTTTAATAGTTTTTTTTATATCCAACGTTTGACAAGAAGGAGCGCTATTAAAATTATATCACAATGCTGTGATTTTCTCCTTATTGTAATGTTTATATCATTGAAATGTACTTTCAGTTCCTTGCTACTGGAATCATCGGCATCTTCGCGGCGAGACGGAAGAACAAATGTATGGTAAGTCCACCGTTATTTCCTCATACATGGACCAACTTGTCGGTCAGCTATTCAGACCTTGATATCGTACCATATATTGTAATTCCATTGTTATAAATATTCATTTTGGTAAGCAATCAGTTTCCATGTGCGTTTATGATGCGTTATACCAAGGAGCCTTGATTATACTTTCCGTACAGATCATCCCTCTGATGGTTCTGTCGATCCTTTCGTCCATCCTGGCGGGAACCGTTACCCTCGTCCTGGCGTCCATTGCACTTTCCAATGATGTCTGGGGATGGTGCTGGAATTTGCCATATAGCTCATGCCCAACGGTAAACCTCTTTCTATATCTACATTAAGACGCTTGCATTGATGGATCACACACATGTACAGTCATATGCCTAGATTTTTTGGTGGTAACTTATAGTGGAGTAGGGGAGTAGTACAATGTACTTATAGATCCTTACACGGTTTTGTGACGATACTTGTACATGTGTACCTGATTATCAGGGCGCCATTGTAACGTTTGACGTCCTGCTGATTCTGCTGGCCCTCCTGGAGCTGGGTCTGGCCATCGCCACCTCTGTGATGACGTGTTATGCTATCTGTCCGGGCTGCTCCGAGGGAGGTACGGACGGCTGTACCTGCTGTACAGGTGATTCGTGTAACAGCAGTGGCTACCAGGTATGCCTCGATCTTTCCCGCTATTTAAGAGAACATATCGATTTTAAAGAAAGCGGATTGCAAGCATAAAGAAAGACGACAAACGTGTCAAAATAATCAAAGCGTAAGATATACGTATAACCAACTGTCAAACATCCAAACTATGTTAATCTCTCTGTTCACTATAAACTAGGGTAACTTCATTACCACTTGAAGAATATAGCATACCTGCTTCGCTCTTTACGGCCAAAGTTAAGATTAATCTGCAATAAATATTTTTCCAGCCGCCAGCAGTTGCCTATCAGGTGGGAGCAGACGGCAGACTGGTTCAGATACCCAGTCAGTACGTCATACAGGGGGGACAGCCCATCGCCATGACACCGTTCCCTCCAAGCCAACCCCAACACGCCACGGTCCTTCCCGCAGGAGCCATGGCCCAACAACAACCTCTGCTCGTCACACAGAACCCTGCCAGCATGGGTGCTGCCCAGGGGAGCACTGCAGTCGGACAGGCTCCCAAACCACAAGGGAACGTTGTGTTTGTCCCGGCTCAGGGTGTCGCTCCTGCGCCACCTGCTCAGCGTCAAGTGGCACAGCCGATGTCAACAGTTGGGCATGGTAAGTCAGAAACAGTAGCATGATTCCGCCAGGAGGAAAGGTTCTAGTCTTCTTCTTCTCCTTGATGCCCAACATCATGGTAATGATGACTCTGGCATGTTGGAGAGCGCTGGTGCCGTCAACGTTTTTCAGTTCGCAATTCCAATTTCTAACTACAACGTACACCGAGATGTTTCCATATCCACTTTTATGAAATATCCACTGTTATCAACGTAATTATTCTGTTTGCTTCAGGTAACATCCAGTATGTTATCGCCGCATCTACACCGGTACCCGGACAACAAGTGTCAGTTCAGCCGCAGTCTGTGCCACAGGTTCAGTTCCAGCAACCCAGGCAGGCCGTGCCCTACCCACAACAAGCGCAACTCCAGTCACAACAGCAGCCGGACGTACCCCAGGGACAGGTCCCTGCCCCACCCACGGGATCCTCCCCTCCCCCCAGCTACCAGCCTGCCGAGTCTGACGCTCGTCCCGCCGCGAGCGAGGCCATGTCGACAGAGGAAGACGATGTGCCTCTCATCGAAGATTGAGCGGGAACCTGGAGATTCGTGGCCAGAAGACCGCATCTACTGACATCATAAGCTCTAGATCTCCTCGCTTGAATCAGCTAACACAATAATATCATACCCAAGGCCAAGTACGTGATGTTACAGACTGTTAGCATGCTTAACCTAGACAGAACGAAACACATACGGCTCAACATATATAATGAAATACAAATGTTGCCAGACAAGATCGCTTCTTATGCCAAACAATGCAATTATGAACAGCAGCAATGGCTGTTTCGTTTGATGATTCCGAAACACCTGACACAAAAACTAATGATCGGGCACTTAATCTTAAAAGAGCGCCGCTATCAAACAAAAACGTAATAAATCACACATGTAGTGCGAAATCATGAAGAACTTCTAAGGAAATTATCAAATAATAGAAGGTCCTTGTTACATCCATATAACGGGAGAGATTAGATAAGAACGTGAAACGCTGGTACAAGAAATGTCTTCTGGATCATGGACCCCTTTCACAGATAACAGGAATCAAACACATCTTGTGTGAAGTAGTGAGGGGATGATGGGACAGAATTGTGATGGTTTCAGAATAGTCGCCTTTGTAACTCCCAAATAATTCTGATAATCTGTTTTGATCATATTTGAAAATGGTGTGAAATGATACTTTGTGTATCAACATTTGTTAATCACTATGGGTTTGTTTTGTATCACGCCAGGACTTACTTCTGAAAGCCTTTCTGAACAAAGCGCATGCGGTTGTAATTCATTTCACAGCAATGTATGATCATAATGTTTTTTCTACACATTTTAATAGCAGTAGATATTCTTGGTATATATATTTCACTTTACCAGGTGCATATTTAGAGTCAGACAATTCTTCTCTAGATTGGAATATTTATCAGTAGCATTTTCTAATCCAGATTTATGATTGTAAAATTGATTTTAAAGGGTCTTTCCAGTCATGACTAAGGAAAGCAACGTTTGCACACAGTACAGTGTGCTCTAGTTTCAAAATGAGTAGAAATGGCAACACAAATTTAAGGTTTCTTCACCCATTACGTGGTTAAAACGACTCCAAACACACCATTACGACTCCAATTACACACTCATCTGGTGACATTGTTTAGCAGTCTCAGTATCACACTAGTGCACATTGAAAGACACGTACACATCCTCAGTTCCTGACACAGAATGTCGAGGTCCCTTGTAATTGATATTCACGTATTTGAACATGTTGAAGACAAATCAACGCAATGTAACGTTACGTGTCACAGATCCCACAAGTAGCACAACAACAAGTACAGTGGAAGTCACGTAAGGACGTTGACCGTCGACCCTATTACGCACACCGCTGGGTGAGGCCCAGCACAGGGGAAACTGTTACGGTTAGCCTTACTGAGGTCGCAGGGCATCCTTACTCCAGGTAAAGTTAAAAACGGGCGATTCCTGCCATCTTCAACTACATATAAAGATACTACGGACTATATGTAGTGTAGTGTAGTGTAGTGTAGTGTAGTGGAAGGACAATATAGACTGGAAAGTGAGAACGACAGTAAACGTTAATGACGTGGACTTTTAGTAGTCCTTGATTCAACAAGTAGTCATGTTCGTCAGCGTACTAGTATGTTAGAAGTCAGAAGGTGGGCTAAGTTAAACGTATAGAAAAGCATGTCTTTTCTGATCCAACTCTCCACACATCATAGGCCATCATACATACAGATTGTGTCGTTGTAAGTTCATACACAGATTAACTACTACGCGTCACGAATCATGTGCTTTGCGGAAGTGTTATTTGGGGTCAAACTGTTCAGCATGCTAGCAGCAGGTGGGTTCAGAAGTTCGTCCTGCGCCACTGCCTGGCATATATTATGTTAATGACTCAGTCCCGCCACTGCCTGGCATATATTATGTTAATAATATGATATGTTAAAGATCATCACGGATGACCAGAACGATCTGCATGCCTAAAATATCAATAATTTCATCCTGGAATCTTCCATCTTTCCAGAACTGCACATGTTCCAGCAACCCCGCCCCACTCCAAGATGTTTTGGTGGGAACACCGTCAAAGCGCTGTCTATCAGACAGATAGTGTGCGGATCTTTGGCCATAGTCTTGGGCATCGCTATCATCATTCCGGGGAGTCATGGGAGTGAGCTCTTCAGGTCCGGGTATCCTATCTGGACTGGAGCGACGGTAAGACACGATATACATTTTGTACTCGTAATGCTGAATGATCATTTCAATAGTTTTCATATCAGCGTTTGACAAGAGGGTACGAAGCCAAGGATCGCTATTAAAATTCACAACGCTGTGATTTTCTCCTTCTATGTAATTTCATTGAAATGTTGTACTTTCAGTTCCTTGCTACTGGGATCATTGGCATCTTCGCGGCGAGACGCAAGAACAAATGTATGGTAAGTCCACCGTTCTTGTCTCAAACATGGACCAACTTGTCGGTCAGCTATTCACACCTTGATATCGTAGTTTATATTGTTCCATTGTTATAAATATTCATTTTGGTGAGCAATCAGTTTCCCTATGCGTTATACCAAGGAGCCTTGGTTACACTTTGCGAACAGATCATCCCTCTGATGGTCCTGTCGATCCTTTCGTCCATCCTGGCGGGAACCGTTACCCTCGTCCTGGCGTCCGTTGCACTTTCCAGTGATGTCTGGGGATGGTGCGGGAATTTGCCATATAGCAGATGTCCAACGGTAATCCTCTTTCTATATCTACATTTATTAATTTAATACGTTGGCATTGATGGTTTGATAGCATGGGTGCCGTGTTTCATATCACATACAGTCATATAAGAATAATGAAAATGGCTAGATTTTTTGTGGTAACTTTTAGTGGAGTAAGGAAGCCTACTGATAGTATCAAAAGCGGCACAGGGGCTACTTATATCGGTTTGTGAAGATACTTGTACCTGTTTATCAGGCAGCCATAGTGACGTTTGACGTCCTGCTGATTCTGCTGGCCCTCCTGGAGCTGGGTCTGGCCATCGCCACCTCTGTGATGACGTGTTATGCTATCTGCCCGGGCTGCTCCGAGGGAGGTACGGACGGCTGCACCTGCTGTACGTGTGATCCATGTAACAGCAGCCGCTACCAGGTAATGCCCCTATTTTTTCCGCTATTAAAGCCAACATATCGATTTGAAAGAAAGAGGTTTCCAAGTATAAAGAAAGACGACAAACGTGTCAAAATACTCAAAGCGTAAGATAATACGTATAACCAATTGTCAATCATCTAAACTACGGATAGATCAACACTTAAGATAAGTGTTAATCTATCTGTGCACTAACTAGGGTAACTGCATTACCACCTGAAGAATTCATACCTGCTTCGCTCTTTACGGTCAAAGTTGAGATCCACTTTGAGATCCATAAATATCTTTCCAGGCACCATCAGTCGCCTATCAGGTGGGAGCCGACGGCAGACTGGTTCAGATACCCAGTCAGTACGTCATACAGGGAGGACAGCCCATCGCCATGGCATCGTTCCCTCCAAGCCAGCCCCCAACACGCCACGGTCCTTCCCGCAGGAGCCATGGCGCAACAACAACCTCAGGCTGCTCGTCACACAGAACCCTGCCAGCATGGCTGCTGCCCAGGGGTTCAACACTACGGCCGGACAGGCGTCCCAAACCGCAAGGGAACGTTGTGTTTGTCCCGGTGGCTCAGGGTGTCGCTCCTGCGCCACCTGCTCAGCATCCAGTGGCACAGCCGAACAGTTGGGCATGGGAAGTAAAAAATAGTCCTGTAGCATAATGCCAGCAGGTGGATAGATTCTAGTATTTCAGTTCGTCTAATTTTTTTTTTTTTTTTATTCCGAAACATGTAATCACAAGACGTGGTGACGACACACTCAAGTTTTTTCAACTTATATTAATGCCGACACCAACACAGGGACAGTACAATACTCATTTACACCTGAGCGAAGTGAGGAAAGTCGTGTAAAGTGCCTTTCCCAAGGGCACAAGATCGGTGGCATGTCAGGACTCGAACCCGGGGCCTCTGGTTCCGAGTCGAGAACGCTGCCGCTGCGCCACACGACCCCATCAGTTCGCAATTGCATCGTTCTAACTAAAACTTACACCGAGATGTTTCCATATCCACTTTTATGAAATATCCACTGTTATCAACAGAATTATTCTGTTTGTTTCAGGTAACATCCAGTATGTCATCGCCGCATCTACAACGGTAACCGGACAACAAGCGGCAGCTCAGCCGCAGTCTGTACCACAGGTTCAGTTCCAGCAACCCAGCCAGGCCGTGCCCTACCCACAGCCAGCGCAACTCCAGCCACAACAGCAGCCGAACGTACCCCAGGGACAGGTCCCTGCCCCACCCACGGGATCCTCCCCTCCCCCCGGCTACCAGCCTACCGAGTCTGACGCTCATGTCGCTGCGAACCAGGCCATGCCGACAGAGGAAGACGATGTGCCTCTCATCGAAGATTAGGCGCGTACCCAGGGGTCGTGACCGGAATACCGCATCTACTGGCATCATATGCTCTAGATTCTCCTCGCTTAAATCAGCTAACACAATAGTATCGTACCCAAGGCCAAGTGCGTGATGTTACAGACTGTATGTTAGCATGCTTAACCTATAATACTGGTTTATTTATTTGTTTCATATAAAACTCATAACAATGGTTCCCACATGGCAGTCACAGACTGAATTGCGTGGGGGTTCCATTAACAACAGTTGATATTCATACTAAAACATTAACTATATAGGGTACAATATTAAAAGCGTAGTTATACTGTAACTGAATTACGCGTAATTAACAAATTTAAAAGATTTAAAAGATCTCATGAAGACACATTATACAATATAATATAGAATAGGGCTGTTTTTTTTCTTACAAGTTCAACAGTCGTACCATGTGAGGTATTGCACTAGAGTTATATCTTTCTGATTTGCAGTGGATACTATCGAGTTTGTGAGATGACCTAGACAGAACGAAACACATACGTCTCAACATATATAATGAAATACAAATGTTGCCAGACAAGATCGCTTCTTATGCCAAACAATGCAATTATGAGCAACAGCTTTGACTATGTCGTTTGATGATTCCGGAACATCTGACTTATGACCGGGTACTTAATCTGGAAAGAGCAACGCTATCAAACAAAAACTAAATAGATTATGATACACACATGTAGTATGGAGGCATGAAGAACTTCGAAGAAAACTGTTAGATAATAGAGGGTCCTTGTTACATCCATATAACAGGAGAGATTAGACAAGAACTAGCCTGGGTGCCATCCGAATTTGTAACGGCTCCCCCGAAAAAATTTCGGGGGAGCCGTTACAAATTCGGATGGCACCCAGGCTAGACAAGAACGTGAAACGTTGGGACAAGAAATGTCTTCTATATCTGGATCATGGGCCTCTTTCACAGATAACAGGAATCAAATACATCTTGTGTGTAGTAGTGAGGGGATGATGGGACAGAATTGTGATGGTTTCAGAATAATTGCCTTTGTAACACCCAAATAATTCTGATGATCTGCTTTGATTATATTTGTAAATGGTGTGAAATGATACTTCGTGTATCAAACATTTGTTAGTCATTATGAGTTTGTTTTGCTTCTGAAAAGCCTTTCTGAACAAAGCGCTTGTGGTTGTACTTCATTTCACAGCAAACCGACAGAGTGAAATAAACATAATACGTGAGCTGGTTTGGTAGCTTTGCAATACCAGGTAACGTTACTAGTATTTTGTAATGTAAAACTTCACTTTGGTGGTTTTAGACACACATGATCTCCCTTTAAAGGCAGACCTCCGAGCAGAGGCCAGTGTTATTTTGTAAAAGCCCAAATTTTATGGTCGATTCATAAAGGGAAATGCAACATTTATTTTCTATGTATGATTGTAATGTTTTTCTACTCATTTAATAGCATCAGATATTCTTGGTATATATATTTCACTTTATGAGGTGCATATTTAGAGTCAAGTGGCGTCGTGTGGCGTAGTGGATAGAGCGTTCGGCGCTCAATAAGGAGCCCCGGGTTCGAACCTGGGTCGGAGCACGGGGGCATGTCCGAACATGCGCACCGACGTTGTGCCCTTGGGAAAGGCACTTTACACGTATCCCCCCTCAACTAGAGGGTCAAGTCTCCAACGGCAGCTGTCTTCAGCTGGCGGACGAGAGCAGCGCCAGGCGGGCTGGCGTAGTCAAGGCGGAACTTGAGCGTAACCAAGTCACCGGCAGCTCGCTGCAAGCACCCGAACCGGAACCAGCACGTCTCCCTCGATGGATCCGCTGGGGAAGACGGATGCCCAAGTGTGTGGGTCTCAGATTCGCAACCTGTTATCCACCTTAAACAAATCCACGCGAAGGCTACCGTGTCAAATGTAACCCTCACTCAGGTGTAGGGACTGACACGGTCATCATACTCGGAAAATCTGTATATCTGTACATGAATCTGTATCTGTGCATGACTATGTATCTGTACATGAATCTGTATCTGATTGCAAATAAAGATCACGAGTGATTGCCATAGATTTAGAGTCAGACAATTCTTCTCTAGATTGGAATATTTATCAGTAGCATTTTCTAATCCAAATGATTGTGAAATTGATTTTAAAACAGTCTTTCCAGTCATGACTGTAGGGAAACAACGTTTGCACACAGTATCATGCACTCTAGTTTCAAAATGAGTAGAAATGGCAACATAAGTCTAAGGTTTCTTCACCCATTACGTGGTTGAAACGACTCCCTGAAACACATTACGACTCCAATCACACACTACCTGGTAATGTTGTTTAGAAGTTTAGAAGTTTCCGTATCACACTAGTGCACATTGAAAGACGGTGTATCCCTTCATATACATGTACATCCTCAGTTCCTGACACAAATAATGTCGAGCTCCCCTGTAATTGATATTCACGTATTTGTTCACATATTCACGTTATTCACGAACACGTTGTCAGTCGACGTTGAAGACAAATCAACGCAATGTTAACGTTACATGTCACCGATCCCACAAGTCACAACAAGAAGTACAATGGAAGGCACTTGAGGACGTTAACCTTCGACCCTATTACACACACCGCTGGATGAGGCCCAGCACAGGGGAAACTGTTACGGTTAGCCTTACTGACGTCGAAGGGCATCCTTACTCCAGGTAAAGTTAAGAACGGGCGATTCCTGCCATCTTCAACTACATATAAAGATACTACGGACTATATGTAGTGTAGTGTAGTGTAGTGGAAGGACAATTTAGACTGGAAAGTGAGAACGACAGTAAACGTTAAAGACGTGGACTTTTAGTAGTCCTTGACTCAACAAGTAGTCATGTTCGTCAGCGTACTAGTATGTTAGAAGTCAGAAGGTGGGCTAAGTTAAACGTATAGAAAAGCATGTCTTTTCTGATGCAACACTCCACACATCATAGGTCATCATACATACAGATTGTGTCGTTGTAAGTTCATACACAGATTAACTACTACGGAATTTAAGGCGTCACGAATCATGTGCTTTGCGGAAGTGTTATTTGGGGTCAAAATGTTCAGCACAGCAGCAGGTGGGTTCAGAAGTTCGTCCTGAGGCCAAATGGCTTAGAACATGCATCTCACATGCATGATGTAAGGTGGGGCATTCGACCAAATCCGATAGGGCTGGCCTGACCCCAAGGTTGCTGGCATCGTGTATTTCGTACCGCTTGTGTCTTCTACTGTCAGTGTAGAGACGGTCGGGTCGGGCTGGGGACCGTTTCAAGCGGCTATAGAACTGATCGATAGTATACTTGAACTAACTAGATCTCGTCGACTGTAAATTGCGTCGCCATGTTTCAATTAATCATTGCCCGGACTCTATAAATATCAATTGGGCTCATTCTTTCAGTTTGGATTCCCAACGTCAAAGGCATCAGTATGCAGGTTGACGTCATTAGAGACTCAGACCATGGTGCGATTATAACCGACATGTTGAAATTAGGGGACAATCAACCAACTGTTCAAATATAACAGGAAAATGTGGTCGCTGCGTGCTATTTTATGCGAAATGACGACCTGCAGTGTGTGGAAGTCAAATGAACTACAGTAGGCATGGGAATGCTGAGATCTATAGATGTGGCAGCCATTTGCTTTTGCAAACTTCATAATCCAATTCATAATATCTGAACACCAACACAGTCTTCTATAAAGCACTCATCTTCAATCTCTTCCAATACTTTATTTGTGCACATTCGAAACGTTTAAATTTTCTCATATGAGTTGCCATCGCCAGTTTGAAGATCATGAAGATGACCAGGACGATCTGCATGCCTAAAATATCAATAATTTCACCCTGGAATCTTCTATGTTTCCAGAACCATGCACATGTTCCAGCAACCCCGCCCCACTCCGAGATGTTTTGGTGGGAACACCGTCAAAGCGCTGTCTATCACACAGATAGTATGCGGATCTCTGGCCATACTTTTGGGCATCGCTATCATCATACCGGGGAGTGGGCTCTTCATGACCGGGTATCCTATCTGGACTGGAGCGATGGTAAGACACGATATAATGTTGAATCACCCCTTAATAGTTTTCATATTCAGCGTTTGACAAGAGAGTACGAAGGGGCGCTATCAAAATTCACAACGCTGTGATTTTCTCATTCCATTATAATGCTAATTGATTGAAATGTTGTACTTTCAGTTCCTTGCTACTGGAATCATCGGCATCTTCGCGGCGAGACGCAAGAACAAATGTATGGTAAGTCCACCGTTATTGTCTCATACATGGGCCAACTTATTCACACTTATGCCTACCTGATAGCATTATCCATATACTTATCAGATCTAGAGAAGTAAAGTAATGAAGACGTCAGGGATCCGGACCAGTCGTGGGCAAGCAACAGCCTTGCAGCGGTCACGTGAGACAAGTGAGCCCGCTCACCTTGCGGGTCCGTCGCCTTCTGTCCATATCCAAGTAGCCTATTGTTCCATAAATTTACTTCCATTGTTATAAATATTTATTTTGGTAACGTAGATATAGGCTGAATCAGGTTTCCTCTGCTTTCTGCGTTTATGACGCGTTGCACGTTCCGTACAGATCATCCCTCTGATGGTTCTGTCGATCCTTTCGTCCATCCTGGCGGGAACCGTTACCCTCGTCCTGGCGTCCGTTGCAATTGCAGATGATGTCTGGGGATGGTGCTGGAATTTTCCATATTGCCCAACGGTAACTAACCTCTTCCTATATCTACATTAAGGCGTTGGCCCTGAATTGTTTGGTAGCATGCATATGCCGTGTTTCATCACATACACTCATATACGAAGAATGGAAATGCCTAGATTTTTTGGTGGTAACTTTTAGAACTTTTAGTGGAGTAAGGAAGGAGTACTTATATCGTTTTTGTGACGAGACCTGTACCTGATTATCAGGGCGCCATAGTAACGCTTGACGTCCTGCTGCTTCTGCTGGCCCTCCTGGAGCTGGGTCTGGCCATCGCCACCTCTGTGATGACGTGTTATGCTATCTGTCCGGGCTGCTCCGAGGGAGGTACGGACGGCTGTACCTGCTGTGCAGGTGATTCATGTAACAGCAGCGGCTACCAGGTATGCTCCGATCTTTCCCGTATCTTAAGAGAACATATCGATTTTAAAGAAAGCGGATTGCAAGTATAAGGAAAGACGACAAACGTGTCTAAATAATCAAAGCGTAAGATATACGTATAACCAACTGTCAAACATCTAAACTATGTTAATCTCTCTGTGCACTATAAACTAGGGTAACTTCATTACCACTTGAAGAATATAGCATACCTGCTTCGCTCTTTACGGCCAAAGTTGAGATTAATCTGCAATAAATATTTTTCCAGCCGCCAGCAGTTGCCTATCAGGTGGGAGCAGACGGCAGACTGGTTCAGATACCCAGTCAGTACGTCATGCAGGGGGGACAGCCCATCGCCATGACACCGTTCCCTCCAAGCCAGCCCCAACACACCACGGTCCTTCCCGCAGGAGCCATGGCCCAACAACAACCTCTGCTCGTCACACAGAACCCTGCCAGCATGGGTGCTGCCCAGGGGAGCACTGCAGTCGGACAGGCTCCCAAACCACAAGGGAACGTTGTGTTTGTCCCGGCTCAGGGTTTCGCTCCTGCGCCACCTGCTCAGCGTCAAGTGGCACAGCCGATGTCAACAGTTGGGCATGGTAAGTCAGAAACAGTAGCATAATTCCGCCAGGAGGAAAGGGCTAGTCTTCTTCTTCTCCTTAATGTCCAACGTCATGGTAATGATGACTCTGGCATGTTGGAATGTTCTAACTACATGTACAACGTACACCGAGATGTTTCCATATCCACTTTTATGAAATATCCACTGTTATCAACGTAATTATTCTGTTTGCTTCAGGTAACATCCAGTATGTTATCGCCGCATCTACACCGGTACCCGGACAACAAGTGTCAGTTCAGCCGCAGTCTGTGCCACAGGTTCAGTTCCAGCAACCCAGGCAGGCCGTGCTCTACCCACAACAAGCGCAACTCCAGCCACAACAGCAGCCGAACGTACCCCAGGGACAGGTCCCTGCCCCACCCACGGGATCCTCCCCTCCCCCCAGCTACCAGCCTGCCGAGTCTGACGCTCGTCCCGCCGCGAGCGAGGCCATGCCGACAGAGGAAGACGATGTGCCTCTCATCGAAGATTGAGCGGGAACCTGGAGATTCGTGGCCAGAAAACCGCATCTACTGAACCTGCTTAATCACTAGACAAGCAGACGACCTGAAATCAAACACGGCTCAACATATATAATGAAATACAAATGTTGCCAGACAAGATCGCTTCTTATGCCAAACAATGCAATTATGAACAAGAGTTCCACGATCTCATACATTCGCCAAATGATCTTAACCCTTACGGTTGACGAAATATACAATTTTAATCATTGATTTTGTAAATAAGAGCCTAATTTGCATGGATTATATCAGTTGATCCTATTCTCCACCTAATGACAGCCTTATCATAACAAAAAGGCTATTGTAGCACTTCCTCATAAATTATGCAAATGAGGTCATGATTTGAATAAATTATGTTTATCGATGTCCACCTTCACTTAACTTCCAAATGTGGCAAGTATGAAATTCGGGGTGCAGCAGTCACAACTATGAAATAATAAAAAATTTCCATTAATTATGCAAATTAGGTCCTCAATTGCATTATCTATATCCTCAGATGTTTTTCTTGTTCTCAAGTAGATGTCTTAAGTAAGTAGTAAGTGTTTCATAGTTCTACTATCGAACAAAGCAGATTTATAGAATTCCCTCATTAATTATGCAAATTAGCTCCTGATTTGCATAATTGCCATCTGATTATGTCAAGCATCACTTCAACTACTTACATACCAAAAATCACGACAATACGTCAACCGGTTCTTGAGTTATCGTCCTTCAATTTTTTACTACAATAGCTCCTGCAGTTCCAGAACAAGGCGCTAGGGGACCCAAATTCATGTCACTTCTTCCCTACCCCAAGAGCTATCTACCAACCAAAATTCGTGACCCTAGCATGTCCAGATCACGAAATATCAAAACCGGAAGTTCTGCTGCAGTACCTAGGAAAGCCGCCAGGGGGCCCAAAATCTAATCATTTCTAGGTCTCATGAAGACCTACCCACCTACCAAGTTTCATTCCAATCCATGAACTGCTTCTCGAGTTA